GAAAGAAATCAGTCCTCACTTGGTGGAGAAAGAGGGCAAGGGAAGGGTTGTCGGTCCCTTGTGCCGCCAAGAAGGAAAAGGAACGACATTCGAAGGATTGGGAGGAGGCAAAGTCAGAAAAAAAAGTGTAACTTGAAGTAAGGTCAGATTGACTCAACCATCACCCCGACTACATGACTAAGGGAAGAGAATGGCTTGGAATGAGAAAAGGGAAAAAGGGAAGCACACTAGGGTTAGGAAACAACTTAGGCGGGATCATGTGTTGACCCCAAGCGGGGAACGGTTTGCATAAACAGTGTTGAATGTGCAGGTAAGTAGTGTAAAGAGACCTTGAGCGGGAAAGGACCCGGGAACACCTGGCGACAAAGAGAATGAGGGATTGAGGATAAACGGGTTGTGGACTCAACCTTCCCCCTTGGATAATGGCTTGAGCATGTTTTTTTGTAATGCAAGGCCGGCTAAAGCAAACGGCAAGGACTTGAGGCGGCCGAAAGGGCTGCCTAGACTAAATAAAAAACATATATATGCAGGAGGGGCCTTGAAAGGACTAAGGGGCGCCTCCCATTAGGTCTTGATGACTCGGGATAGTGAATACATGTGTGGCCCAAGGATGACGCTTGGCCTATGCATAAAAGAAGACGAACCCTCAGAGATTCCCTGGAATGCCTGCGTATTGGAAGGAGCATCTGCTTGAGAACACAACCAAGAATCAAAAGGAATTCAGCGTTGCGGTATGACCAGCGAGACTACCACCCGGCGTGAGGGTTGAGCTACATCCCCAATGTCAAAGCTCTCTCGCTCGATGGCCCACCCCCATCCATCGCAAACACTAGTTGGGGGTGCCCCCGTGACGAACGCTCAGCGCCTTGAGCATGAGATCGGGTGGAGCAGAGCCAACTGGGACACGCAGTGGGTCGACCAAGGCTCGAAAGTCTAACGAGGTTTGACCCTACAACGTGGCAGAGGCATGTCAGAATACTTGATCACCCAATCTCCCTGTTGAATGGTTGGCCCTTTCTTGAGTGCCAGTTGCTAGGCCAGCGGCATGGCTTCTTGTAGGATGTGCAACTTGTCCTCCACCTTTTTGACATACTTTATGCGTTTTTGGAGCCAGGCTGCAGATATCCAGTTTCTTGTATGAACATTCCAGAGGCTTCCTAATGTAAAGATGCCTTTTTTGACCCAGGAAAGCCAGGGGGAATTTGTTGTCAGCGGGAAGGGTTTGCCTGCTTCATCCACAATATGGGGGTTACCAAATAAGGGTTGCCTCCATATATCGTGCCACCTATCAGAAGGGTGTTTTTGTTTCGGTCCCACACGTCTCCAAAGTTTGATCATGTTCAGCCACATAGGGTCCCTGGCAATGTCTTGCTTGGTGGCCTGCATCTGTGTGTCCGCTTGTGTTTGTCGGAAGGTGGACGGGACGGTCCAATGGGCATTTGTCAGCCATTGGAATGGGTGTATCTCGTCCGTGATTGCTGTTTCAGATGCCAGGTTTTTTATCCGCACACAGGCTAATGGCACCCAAGGTATGGCATTACCCGTAAGAAGTCTGACCACAACTTTGAAGATTAGGGCCTCACTTTCCCGTTCCGGATCTAGCACACGAAGTCCTCCCTTCATTCTTGGTTGTGTCAGTATGTCCCATTTAACCCGGTTCATGCAACTTCGGGATTCTGCGTTGTTCTTCGACAAATAGGTCGTAAGGGCTTTTCTAGGTCTTGCATATTGTTTTTTGTTGAGGGGCCACACTGCGAGTTTGTACCAGATCGCGGCAAGGACAACATTATTGATGGTCAGTGCATGTCCACAACAAGGTTCACCAAGGTATCACCATGGTCGAGAGGGGGGCCAAGTGTTGTCAGTTTGACTCCCAAGATTATAATTGTTGTGTCCCTTTGCACCCATGAAATCAGTGGTTGCGGCGGCGACCCTGCATCTTGTGGGTGCATCCACCACCTTTCCGTTTTTGCGCCCCAGTTAACCTTCATATCCGCTGCCAGTGAGAATAGATGGATGACTTGTGTCAGAGCTTGAAGACTTTGATCATCCGCCCTGATGAGCACGGTGAGATCATCTGCAAATAGTGATGTCACCGGTACTAGATGCTTTGGCAGATCTGGAATGGGGACTCTGTGTATCTGTGGGTGAGCTCTAATGAGCAATGCGAGAGTTTCCATTACAATAACAAAAAGAAGAGGCGCTATGGGATCCCGTTGGCGCACCGATCTCTGAAGGGGGATTGGGGCAGCCAGGTGGCCGTTCAACATAATATTGGTTGAGGCTGATCTATGAAAGAGTTGTATCCCCTTGCTGAACACAGGCCCAAAATTCATCTTAGTAATGCACATATCAAGGAAGTCTCAGTCAACATGGTCATAGGCCTTTTCAAAGTCGATGAAAAGGACGGTCACTTGGAGTTTGTGCTGTCTGGCGTATTTAATGGGCTCGTTGACTAACAGGACATTATCCTGGATATTGCGATTGGGCATGAAACCCGTCTGGTCGGGGTGGGTGAGCAAGTTCATCAGTGGCAACAGTCTCTTAGTGATTGTCTTTGCTATAATTTTGTACAGAACTGGAAGGAGAGTGATGGGCCTGTAGTTTCGTATATTTTCCTTATCCCCTTTTTTGTACAGGAGGGTGGTTACTCCTTGTCCCATCGTTACTCCCAAGGATCCCTCCCTCTGCACCGCACGTATGTACTCCATAAGATCTTCACTCAGTGGTTCCCAAAAGCGCACCCAGAATTCCCTGGGGAAGGAATCCAGCCCCGGTGTTTTCTCATCTTCCATATCTTGTAAGGCCTCCTTTACTTCCTCCAGCGTGATTGGACGGTCTAGTTCAGCTCTCTGGGGGAGTGTAAGACGTGTCTGGAGTGTTTGTAGGAGTTGGTCTCTTGCATGTAGAACTTCGTCTGAGGGTTTTAGAGGAGTTTCTGAGGTAAACAACGTCTGGTAGTCTTTTGAGGCGTAGTCCACAATCGCATACGAGTTGGTAGCGGTCAGAGCATTCACATCAAATGGGTGCCCTAGTTTCGGGACTATGTTCGCTCTCGATCGGGATTTTGCTTTGTTAAAGAAGGTTTTTGCCATTGTTCCATCAACCTGGTCCTTCTTGATTTTTGCATGGATCCTCCAGGCTTGTGTTTGGTGGTCAATATAGGTTTGGAGGTGCTCCCTTGCCTTTTGCAGCTCTTCATAGGTAGGCTGATGAATCGGGTCCCCCATGAGTTGATCATCCCATTCCTCAAGTTCTCGCATGAGTCTGTCCAAGACAGCCTTGCGGTCCCTGGCGTATTGGGTGGATAATTTCCTGGTTCGTTCTCTAAGTTGTGCAATACCTTCATTGAACCAGGATACCCTCTCCCCTGTGACTGGTTTCTTGGATTGCCAGTAACGCCAGAACGATTCAATCATATATTTAAACTTGGCAAGAGGGAGAAGGGAGGTGTTGAACTTATAAAACCCTGGGCCCCTCTGGATATGACTGTGGAATGACAGGCCCAGGGTGACCATCCTATGGTCAAAGGATTTGCATGGACTAATGGTTGCAATATCAGCAACAATGATGAGGCCTGCGAGGTCCTTGGACACTAGTATGAGGTCAATTAAGGAGTTGGCCACTCCTCGCTGTCCTCTAGTAGACAAACAGGTGTAGGCCCTCTGAGTTGGGTGGAGCATTCTGTAAGCGTCTTCTAGTTGTCTGTCAAGCATGAATTGTTTGAGCATAATGCCATCAGCCTCTGTCTGGGCTAGAGGGGTCCCGACAATCTGTGGTCGTTGCGACGATGACCTCCGATGCATATGTGGATCTAAGGTGGTGTTGAAATCACCCGCCATTATAATAGGGGCGTCATCTGGTAAAGTCCAAAGGTGTGGTTGCCACTCCTGCCTCCATCAATTCTCTGGTCTTGATAATCCAGTCATGCTTGATTATGCTAAGCCACTGCTCAAACCAATGGCTGGGCGTTGCCCCAAATTCGTCTTCCCATTTGAAGGATTCCTCGCGCGGCTGGTTCATAGGAGGTCGCTTTTCTTCTCTGGGCCTCGAGATCTCATCCCTCTTATCGCCACTGCTAATTTCTATAACCTCTTTCACTTCTTCCTCCTCGTCCTCACTCTCTTCCTTTCATACGGGGCTGAACTCACCCATAAAGTTCTTTGGATCCAGATTATAAGGGATCTCTGTCCTCCTCCCATATCCTTCCCCAAAGTCTGTGTTTCTCCCCTCACAACTGTCGTGGCCACTCCGCTCTTCATGCGGACTTTCCCTTCTCTCTTCCCCATCTTCGCGTCCGTCGCTCATGTCCTGCCTCCCCTCGTTCTCCCCATGCCAAGGATCATGCTGCTCGCATCTCTCGGCCCTTCCCTTGGCAGAGGCCCGAGCCCTTTCTCCCATATCCGCTTTCTCTTCCTCGCTCTCACTCCCTGATGAGATGTATATCCCTTCCCCCTTTCTGAGAGGCGAGGGCCCTCTACACACTTGTTTTCTCGCCCCCCTGCCCACTACATGTTTGGACAGGTACCCTATGTACAACTTTCTCTTGGCGGTCCTCCGCTCTCGACTTGGTCCCGCTCCTCCCCCTTCGCTATGCCTGTTGATCGCCCCGCTGTCATTTTCGTTGCCGAATTCCATTTTTGCTTTTCTAAGGTTTTTTTTCTGATCCTGTATAACAAAACAACACCCGCCAAGCCCCTCATACATACGTCCCCTCCCAGTTCGGTAGGAAATACCCCTTCCCCCAGAATGCGCCCGGTATCCTTCACACCAGGCCACTATTATACATTGCTCTTTCATGAAAATGCCACATTTGTAATGATCCCATTATTTTCCCATCAAGAACTATGATACAATGCTCCCGACAACCTTTCCCATTACCACAGAAAAACCCATTGGTACAGAAGAGTCCCAAGACATTCCGCCTCGCATTTTCAATCAGCCCAAGCCATTGCCCCCCCCCAAAAAAGGGAAGTCCCACAGGCGCAGTCAGAGACAAATCATGGTGTGGGCAAAGTTGTCGTCAGTTCCTAGCTTGTAGACTCCTCAGTTTTCCTTGTCCTCGGCCTCCTGAAGCCATTGTTCCACTGGGTCCCGACTTAGAAACCTGACCAACCGTTGCCTTGGGAAAGGCCCTTTCAATCCAGTTCCATCCAGATCTTCCAATTCGAAGGTGTTCAATCCCACCCGCTTAGCGATCCGGTAGGGGCCTTTGACCCTCCTCCCCAGTTGCTCGGACCAGGTGCTTTCTAGTGTCGAGTTTCTTACCAATACTGTCTCTCCCACCTGCAGTGACTCCTTTCGGATATTCTTAACCTGGTCCCACGTTGCTTTGTCCCTCATCCTGCTGTCTAGTACCCGATTGGTGATGCCTTCCATGACCTCCTCGTTTCTAAGGACTTGTTGACATCTTGCCTCAATTAATTCGTTTGTGGTCATGCACGGATCGTCATCTAACCTGTTCCAGGTAGGTATCAAGGCCTCCACGGGAAAATCGATCTTTCTTCTGTACCAAAGTTCCGCTTGGATACATCCCGTTGTCCTCTTAGGTGTCATGTTCTCCGAGAAGACAACCTGCTTAAGATATTTAGGCCAACTCCCCAGATCGTCCGTCGCGAGCTTCGCAATCGTGTTTTTTAAGGTCCGGTGCCCCCTTTCCACAGGTGCATTGGCCTCCGGGTGATAGGGCTCGATGAGTTTGATAGGAACGCAGAGCCTTTTAAGCATTCCCATCAGTTTTTGGTTTACAAACTCTATTCCATTGTCTGCCATAAACCTCCTGAGGAAGGGATGCCTCAGGTAGAAATCCTCTATCCAATTTGCTACACTTTTCCCCGTCTTTTTCTTGAGGGTGATTGCTTCTACGAACCCACTCAAGTTGTCCCGTGCATTCGGAATATACCTGTATCCATCCGTTGATACGGGCATAACTGCAAGGTCAAGGTGGACCAGGTGTCCTGGCCCCAACACCCGTGTTGGTCTAAGTGGCTCGAAGACGCGAACCGAGCTCCGTTCCTGGCAGATCAGGCAGGTCTGACAGTACGTGGCGACCATACCTGCTATGCCTGGCCAATAATAGAGAGGTGTCATCTTTGCAAGAGTTCCTTTGGACGATCGATGTCCTCCTGCTAGTCCGTCGTGCATTGCCTGGATCACGTCCAACTGCATAGACCTTCCGCATACAACCCTTCTAGGCATAATGCCTTCCTCCCTCTTGAACAGATGATCGTTCCTTATGACGTATCTTTCGGCCTCCTCCCTTGCCTTAATGCTGACCTCCACGGACTGTTTATTTCCTACCAAAAGCAACCCGATCTCTCGAAAGACCCCTTCGTACATCTGAACATAGAAAAACTCTTTCCCTTCCTGATCCTCACCCTGCCTCTCCTGCATTTGGTTTACCATTAGCTGCAACTCTCTCCGTTCCCAAGACTCCACTAGGCTCATCACGGTTTCCCGACCTCCCTCAATGACCATCGCTATCAGTTCCTCCTTCGGACCTACTATCGCCCCCCACGAATCCTTCTCCTCTTTGCGTCCCCGGATGGCGACTGGCCCTTCCCTAAGCTCCGCCACAACAACAGGTGCCCCTTTTTCCAAGGTCTGTCTCCCGACGCGCATCCTTCGCTCATCATTTCATTATCCACCGCAAGGGTTCCTCCTTCGTATTCAAGGAACGCGTTTATGGGCTCTGCATCTTCCACCCCTTCGGGCGTGATATAAACCCGACTTAGCCCATCAGCCTTGTTTCTGAGTCCAGCAATTCGTTCGATCTTGTAATCGAACTGCCAGATGAATCCTACCCATCTCCCCACCGTCGGGTCTATAGGCTTGTAATTCTTTAGAGCCCCCGCGACATTCGTTGGGTCGATCCTTAGGATGAACCGCCTCCCGAATAGGTAGGCTTGGAGAACGTCAACAACGTACGATGGTCTGAATGAATCAGCTCCCACTGGATCTAAAACCTGTCATGGACCCATGTATAGTGACAACAGCTTAGGTGAAATGTCCTCCTCTCGAGACAGCTCAGAACTGAGCACCAAAACCCAGTCACCTGTGTGAATAGTGGAGGGACGTGTGTGCCTGTCAGCCTGCTGGATCATAGCCTTTTGAGCTTTGAGCAGGTTGGCACGGACGCACTCAATGTCCAGACGGTAACACCAGGTGAACTCTACAGTTCCAGGTGTCAACGTAGGGGTAGCCTTATCGATGATGTCATCGAGAGGTTGTCGTGGCTCACGACCCCAGTGTAACCGGTGGGGTGTAAAGCTTGTAGAGGAGTGAACAGAAGTGTTATACACTAGTTGTGCACGACCCAAATGAAGATCCCAGTCCTGCTGATCCGGACTGATCATAGGACGCAACAGCCGAAACAAAATCTGGTTCATCACTTCAGCCTGACCATTGACTTTAGGATGGCGACCAAATGTCATGTCCAAGCGGGAATGAAGGTAGTCCTTGCAGTAGGACTGCCACTCATGGCTGCAAAAACGGGGATCTCGATCACTGACGATAGAGGTGGGTGGTCCATGATGAGTAACCCACCTGTCAGCAAATGTTGTCTGCACGACAGGGACTTTGGCTTCTCCTGGCGAAGTGATGAACTCTGCATACTTGGAGAACCTGTCCACACAGACCATAACCTGACACATACCACGAGGAGTGGTCCTACCTAAATCAGTCAAGTCAATAGACACTAATTGTGCAGGTGCCTCAGGGATGGGAAGTGGTTTGAGTAGGCCAAGAGGAGGTCTACGTACGACCTTATTCCTTTGGCATAACTCACAGGTGTCAACATACTACAACATGTCATTCCTCATCTCTTTCCAGAAGAACCTCTGCGACAGGGCCACATATGATTTGAGGGCACCAAAATGACCACGAGCATTATGACACTTTGACATCAGCAGTGTTCTCAACTTGCGGTCCTGAGGAATACACAGACATTCCTCATCTCTGTTGCAAGTATACAGCAGATCTGAAACCAGCGTGTAACCTGGTTCAGAGGCAGGATCATCTTGTAGGTTCCTCACTATGGGTCAAAAAATTGGGTCATGGGGCAGCAATCGGGCAATGGTCTGATGAGCCTTCTCTCCAAAAGAGTGAGTAAAGGAGATGAGGAAGAGAGCGTGCCTACGAGAAAGGGCGTCTGCCACTTTGTTGTAGCAGCCCTTCTTGTATTTCAGATCAAAGTCAAATAAATCAATGAACTTATTATAGCGGGCAAGCTTGTCATTCAACTCTCCCTGGGACTTCATCCACTGAAGTGTGGAGTGATCTGAAAAGATCTTGAAGTGCTTGCACAGGAGGAAGTGTTTCCAATGCTTGAGCGCTGACACAAGAGCATAAAGCTTTTTCTCATAGGTAAAGTCATGCAGCTTCTTAGCTTTGATCTTCTTGCTCGTGTACTTGACAGGCTGCAGACCATGGTCATCATCCTGCTGAAGTACCGCCCCTACACCATACTGACTAGCATCAGTGGTTAGCACAAAAGGCAAGGTAGGGTTAGGTAGCTTCAGAACAGGTGCACGAATCAAGGCCTCCTTGAGACGTGTAAAAGATTCCTGACATTTTGATGTCCAAAGAAAGGAAGTGTCTTTCTTTGTGAGGTCAGTTAGGGGTGTAGGACTTTGTACCGATTGTCATGTAAGGCTTTGAGCCAGATGTTGCGCATGCTCCTAAGACAGAATGGCTGAATATCAGAATGTCATCCAAATAGACAACTACAAACTTGTCCAGGTAAGGCCTGAGTATGCAATGCATCTCTGTTGGAAGGTATCAAAGGCGTTGCAAAGACCGAATGGCATGACCAGGTACTCATAAGTACCATACCTGGTCTTAAAGGTTGTCTTGTGGACATCTCCTTCAACCATCTCAATCTGGTGGTAGCCAGATTTGAGGTCGATCCTGCTGAAAATAGTGCAGCCCTGCACCATATCCAACAGATCATCGATCCGAGGAAGAGGCTTTGTAGACTTCCTTGTGATCTTGTTGAGACCCCTGTAGTTCGCACACATCCTGAACTCACCATTTCCCTTTGGAACAAAAAGAATTGGTGCCCCAAATTCAAATGTGTTGGGACGAATCCAACCTTTGCTGGTTAGGGTCTCCAATTGTTTCCTGAGCTCATCAAGTTCGGCAGGGGACATCCTGTAGACCCAACCCTTGGGAGGGACGGAGCTAGGCAGGAGCTCAATCTTATGTTTGGTCTGCCCAGTCGGCTCCTGCATAAGATCTAAGAACCGGTCAACCACTTGCTGAAACTGAGAGTGACAGGGAGCAGTCTCCACATCAGTCTGTTTGACATATGCCACAAACAGACGTGTATGGTCAGTTTGGCGTGACAGTCTCATGAAACTGCGAGCCCACATGCAATAGCAGCTACTAGCCGGATGGTACTCATCAGCGAGCCTACAGGGGCAATAGACCCCATGCCGGTCAGGTAGCTCAACCCTAGGGATCCACCAGTCGATCCTAGGGTTGATGACACTAAGCCACTGCAAAGAGAACACAAGGTCAAAGGGTACGTTAGGGAACTGCTTGAATTTCTCCCTGCTTGTCAAAGACTACAGGTAGGCCATTGACAACAGTGGTAATCCTGATTGTGGATGAGTCCCCAATGCGAACCTCAATAGGCTGTCGCAACTTTACCAGTTTCTGGTCCAAGTGCAACCTGCTGACTGTCTTGGGAGACATGAAGTTGCAGGTAGCCCTACAGTCCAAGAGCCCTTTGAACTTGGCTCCCAGGATAGAGGTCGAAGCAGGATGAGATCTGACATTTGCTTCTTTCTTTCCTGCAAAGACAGGAAGAGATCAGCAAGGCTCTGAGCTTCATCCTCCTCCCACGCCTCATCCAGATCTGTGTCCTCATAAGTGAAGGACTTTGATGCCGCAACTCTACAATCAGAATCAGCGAGAGAAGGTAAAGATTCATCTTCATCAGAAGGTGAATCAGCACTGGTGGAAGGAGTTGCTGCTTCCACCTCTCTCCGCTCTAGTTTTTTGAACTAGAGCCACCTGTAGACCTGCGATGCATACTAGGACAATCCTTGAGGAAGTGGTGCCTTTCGCATCACAAGCAGACTCCCTTGTCCTTCCTCTTCCTCCAAACTACCTCCTGGATCCTGAGTGCAAGCGAGGGGAAAGTGGAAGGATCAAGGGGGTCAACTGGCAACAGACGTCACGTGGCAATGAAACTCTTTGGGCTGTAGGGGAAGAGGCACGTCCCTTTCCTTTTCCCTTACTGCTGGTTGGTGCTTTTTGGGTCGGGCCTTTGCCCTTGGTCAATCCCATCAAAGCATCAGCCAAGCCCAGAACAACAAAATCTGCAGCAGATGAGGAGGCAGTCCCAGATGGAGGGGTCCCACCTTGGAATGCTGCATCATCATCTGAACTAGAGGCTGTAGCAAACAAAGCACCCTTCCTCCTTCTACGCCCCTTTGAGGAGGGTCCAGTCCTTCCTTCAGAAGGTGCTTCCTGGACATGGAGTTTGGACTCCAGATCCAGGGCTGCTTTACCAAAGGACCACTAGTCCTTATGGCCCTAAGAGAATAAAGCCAACTGGTATTGCTCAGGTGTTGCCCTAAGGAAATGAATGAGCAGATCCTGCTCACTCATCTCCAACCCAGGAGTCGATGTAAGACTCTCAAAGGTGGAGTACAATTTGGACAAGGATCCATCAAACTTTTTTTGGCCCAGGCGCAAAATTTTATCTGCGGCTTTTCTGGCCAGCTCCTTGTCTGCAAACCGGTCTTGCAGTGCCTGTAGAAAACCAGCCACCCCCAGCCCATGTGCCAATCAGACATCTCCATCCCTTGCTTGCTGGAGGTAGAGGTGCACCATTTCAGTGCAGTCCTCTCCACGCGAGCAAGGATGGCACTCACCTTCACATCCTCATCACATTTGAACCCACTCAGGTAGGTTCGTTGTGCAGTGACCCAATTTGCAACATCCCTTCGGGTCCTCGCTAGAGAACATGGGTGGAGGGGTCAGTTTGGGCCGTTGCATATCAAATGGAGTTGAACGTTATGAGGTGGCTGTTGACTTGGGTGTAGGGACAAGGGATGAAGGTCTGGATTGTGGGGCTGGGGTCCCGCTTGGGAGGCCCCAGGAGATGGAGGAACGGTTAGGGTAGAGGGGATCTGCAAATGGGTGAAAAGGAGGTCCGACTTGGAAGATATGTCATCCAAGTTATTGGAATGACCTGGCAACTGATCTTCCAGGCAGGTGATCCTCGCATCCCACTCAGTAAAATAAGTCCGATTGATGTCATCCTGCAGAAGGACGAACTCGGCCATGTACTTATTGTACTGATTAGCACTTCCACTTACCCTAATCTTCCCTATGTCTGTGATGAGGAGTTTTCTTTTAGCCTCTTTCTGATCAGCCTCCTCCCTGCGCTTCATCTCTACCTTCAGAGCCTCAACTGCTTGTGCCTGTTTCCGGAGTTTCTCCTCCTCAGCCAACAGTTCAGCCTCTAAAGGGGAGAGAGGAAGTTGAGGCTTCTCCTCAGAAACTTCACCCTTCTCTGCACCAGACATCTTAAAATTTCTCACGATACAGATAAATAAAAATCAACAATTAATCAGAAGACAGAGATATAAGTAACAAGAATTGGGTTTTCTCTGCAGTACTTGCCCAATTGCTGTCACCTAACTCAAGAGAGAAGTTGGTTAGTACGAGCAGGCAAGTGCTCAGTCTCCGCAGACTGCTTGAGGTTCAAGGTCAGTTTAGAGTATAATCAGCAAAAATCAGTTTCACGATTTTCCATTCACTGCCCTGACACATCAATTGCATGCGATCACTGCAA